GAGAAAAATGAAAGGTGGTGGTGGCGACAAGTGTCGCCACCCTAGAGTTTCTTGGCCAAGAGAGCAACTAACCTTCTTATTTCCAATTTTGCACTTTCCTCTTCATTTTTTCTGCTGCTGGCCGATCAAAAGAGAGAGAGAAAGGGAGAGCAAAAGAAAACTTCCTTCTTCTTGAATCTTAGCCAAACCAAGTGAGAAAATCGATTTCCAAACCGATTAAAGTGTTAATTGTGAGTTGGGAAGCTAGAGGAACTAGAAATTTTCAAAGGAGGTGGATTATCACTCATCCAAACTTGTCTTTGAGGTATTAAATCTGATCATGATCCTTGATCTTTTAAATCTTGCGTTAAGATGTTATTTAGCTTAAGTTTTGGCTTGATTTCAAGATGTGCAAGTGGTTGTGATGATTATTGGATGAAATAAACAAGTTAGGGTTTGATTAATTTCTGTCTACACTTGTTGTATAGTTGCATATGTTGAATATAAGTTTATATAAGGGGCTTTGGTAGTGATTGGAATAAGAAATTTGAGAAAGTTTCATTGAAGACCAAAAAAATTCCAGATTCTGGAAAATTTTCCCCCCTTTTTCTGTCCGGTTTTGTAGCCTTATGTTAGAGGCCTAATTGGCCTTAGGTCAAAACATGAAAGTTGTAGATAATAGTATTTTATAGTTGCCTACAAAATTTCAGCTCAATCTGAGTATCGTAGCTTGTGAAAAGATGAAAATACCCTCACTGATCTAGGTTAATTTCCAGAGTTCCGCGTGGACAGTTCAGTCCTTTTGATTGAGTTTATTCACTATAATCCGTTTGGATTTAGCCTTCCACCAAAACATGAAAGTTTCAGTGCCTTGTCTTAGCTTTGTAACGCCACCAAGAACGCCTTAAATGGACCTTGGTAGACTGAGATATGGTCGTTTGAGTGCAGTGCGGTTGATTAGCGGAATAGTTGAAACCAGGTTATGTGAGTTGGGAATTTGATCAAGTTACATTGAAAATTTGACTAAGTGATCTTCATGAAAGTTATAGGCCTTTGCCTTAGCTTCGAAATGGTATAAGCTGCGTATCAATCCGATAAGCGTAGCCTTGAATATGTTATTTCCGCAAAACCCGTCAAATCTGTCTTTTGTAATTGCATTTCCGCACTTGATATTAGCTTAATCTTTGTTCGTGTGTTGTTGTGAGCCTATGGAATGGCTAATGAACTGAAATTATGTTATGGATGATGTTGGGTTGGATTGAGTAAGGATTGAAGCCTAAATGGCTGGAAAATTAGGTAAACACAAAGGACATGCTGCCCGAATTTACACTCGAGGACTAGGAAACAATACTTGCAACTTGTGTAAAGATTAAGTGATTATCACTTGAACTAGCGAGCACCTTTGCTACTTTGTTATCGAGGGCTATACGTTAAAACCTAAACGAACTTGTAACCTTGGGGAAAAGATATAATGGCTAATGTAAACTTGTATTTCCTTGTACTTTCAACTCAAGTGTTGTTTCCAAGTATATATGCTACAAAAACCTTACGATTTGAAAAGCTAGCAAGTGTTTCACGAATGTCTTTCAAATGAATTTCAATTGGACGATTCTTAATGAACGGAACGTTTCAGTTTCGAATTTTACTCGTGTTTCAAAGTTCTCAAATTGAATTTTTATCGCAGATCTGGACTCCAAGCCTGGAGTATAAGTGAACGTGAATACTTGAAGCACTATATTTTGGTGAGTGCTTCCAAATATCCGATTGTACTTGGTACATGTGTTTCTTACTTGACTTACATGATTACATGATGAATGAATGATAGGGCAAGGGTGTACTTTACCGCACTTGCCCTAATATGACTTGTTCTTGCTATTGATTACACTTGACTTGCTCTACATGTACTTGAGATATGTCTTGCCTGAAATTCCAGAAACCCTGTGGCTAGTTAATCGAGTCGAGCCGGCAAGGGTCTGGTCGATTAGATAACGAACCCTGGGTCACTTGTAATGTCGGGTGGAGTGTTATCTCCCCGACTAAACGGTATACTCGAGTATTACCACCCGTGTTTCGTGTGGCGTGCGGGCCCGGAAAAGGGGGTTGATTGGTGGACGGAGATTGGCGTGTAGTGGAGTTTTATTTTGGACTTGTTATGACTTGAAAGTTGGCGGAGTGTCAACTACCACTTGACCAAGCTGGAATGGAGCCGTGATATGGGTTACTGTATCCTTACATGTGAATGTGAACCTGATATTACTTGGCTATCTGAAGTACTATTTTCCTGATTGGACTTGTTTGCTCGCTATTTCACTATTACTTTGTTATCACTTGATTTGTTGACCAATTTGATATTTGGGAACTTCACTGAACTTTGGCTCACCCCGTTAGTTTTGTTTTCCTTACAGGGGTACGAGTGAGGCGTGAGATTTGAGAAAGACTAGCGTAGTCTTTTGTTTTTGAACTTTGACTTTTGGGCTTGTACTCGCGCTATTCTTCGAATGAAACATTTTGTACTTGAATTGTATACGTTTTGCACTAGTTTGAGTATCGAGACTTTGTACCCTGATTCCTATCCTTGTATGTTATAAGCTTGAATTGGGTATGTTATTTATGGTTCATGATGGATGTGTATGTACGTGATTCGTGTGAGCTAGTGAGTGAGTCCTGGCGAGAGTTGGGCAGGCGGTCCGTCGAACCCTTTGGTACGCCTTAGGGGGAGGTGGGGTCGTCACAATAACAAATTCAGTTGCTTCTTTCATTTCTCTTTTTTCCTTCTGCTCACTTTCCTCTCTCGCACCCTGTCTTCATTCTTCCTTCTTTCCTTGATAATCAGATCGGTCTGAGTGAATTGCAGCTCAGACCCTAACAATTGGTAATCAGAGCCTTAGATCCTTGGAGTACAATCAATTTCTATGGCAGAAGGCATGAGATTCCGAACTTTGGAAGATCAAGTGAAGCGGCAAGAACTCAAACTCCAAGAATTGATGGAATCGCTGCTGTCCCATCAGTCGGAGCAGCAACAGCTCAAGGACAATTTGAAGAGAGAATTGGAAGAAAACAACAAAAAAATGAAGAATATGCTGACCGGAATGGAACAGAACTTTAGCAAATCCTTGGATCAGAAGTTCGACGCACTCCTATCCAAGATGACCTCTACGCAGGACAAGAGCACTGACAGGGAGGAAAGAATAATGACGGATCTGCCGCCACTCCTTCCTACACCCCCCAATCATCAGAGGTTGCGACCTGAAGGAGATCAACAGAATGCCTGCAAATGAGATTGGGGTAAGTTCCAGCTTTCGAATCCACAAAAAATAGACTTACAATTGTTTACTGGGGACAATCCTAGGGAGTGGCTGCGAAAATGTGATAAATACTTTATAAACTACCAAATCTTATATCACCAGAATGTGGAAATAATAGAAATGTACTTAGATGGGAGAGCTGATAAGTGGTTCCAAGATGTTAAACTTGAAAGACCTAGATTGAGTTGGACGGAATTTGGAGATCTATTATGTAAAAGGCTCACAGATAGCATATGTAAGGATGTGGTGGAGGAATTCAACAAATTAAGACAAGAAGGCAGTATAGAGGAATATCAGGAAAATTTTGAAGAGTTGAAACCGTTGATGTTGATTAAGAATAGGAACTTGGATGAGAACTACTTCATCTCTAGCTTCATTAGTGGCTTAAAGGAAGAGATCAAACCGATGATTAAAATGCTAAAACTAGCTACACTGACTGAGGCTTTTGAGTTATCACAATGGCAAGAGTACTCACTCAAAGTACAGAATAAACACTCCAAGCAGAACTCAAGACTATCTGGGGAGAATAGGTTTGGAATGTCAAGGGGAAATACCTCAGCCTTAAGCAGCAATACCTATAGAGTTCCTGTCAATAATAATGTCAAAACCTTTAGATTCAGTAACAGGCTACAGGAGAATAGCAGAGAGTTGAAGAAAATTTCAGCGCAGGAGCTGCAATATAAGAGAAGTAAGGGACTGTGCTTTAAGTGTGGAGAGAAATACAGCATTGGCCACTAGTGTGCACTAGGACATGTTAACTGCATGATACTAGAAGATGAGGACGATGCTGCTTTTGAGGATGCAATAGGGGAACAAGATGAACAAACTGGTAACCCAGGGCAAACTATGGAGATGTCTTTGCATGCATTGTCTGATTCCTTGCTAAGGAAAACAATTACATTGACAGGCATACTAGATGGTGAGAAGGTTTTCATACTGGTAGCTCTGATAGCTACATTAACAGTAAGAAGGTCATTGGGATGAATATTGACTACAAATGGGTTGAATAACCATTTTCTGTCATAGTGGGAAATGGAACCACTGTGACTAGCAATGCTATTTGTCCAAATGTACACTGGATAATCAACCAACATAACTTCAGATTCGATTTAAAAGTGATGGAGCTAGACAGATGAGACATAATATTGGGGGTAGATTGGATGACACATTTTAGTCCTATCACCTTTGACTTTCAGCAACTAAGGATATCCCTGCACCATGAGGGAAGTGCGATTCACTTGCATGGACAAACTGAGAACTGCGAGATGGATTTGATTAGAGGGAAGGATTTAAGGACGTTCATAGAGTACAAAAGACAAATATGCATGGCCTTGAATTGTAAAAGTGAATCAGAAGGGAAAAAGGAAGTTATTCCACAGAAAGTCAGGGAGCTGCTCCGGGAATTTGAATATGTGTTCCAAACTCCAAGCTCCCTACCTCCCAACAGGAGTGTTAATCATGTCATTAATCTGAAACCAGAAGCACAACCCTTCAAGTTGAAGCCATATAGGTATCCACACTGCTATAAGGAGGAAATAGAGAAATAGGTGGCAGAAATGCTCCAGAAAGGGATAGTCAAATACAGTAACAGTCTGTTTGCATCCCCTGTATTGTTGGTCAAAAAAAAAAGAAGGAACTTGGCATTTTTGTGTAGATTATAGAAGATTGAATGAATTGACCATCAAAGACAGATTTCCCATACCCAATGTGGATGAAATGTTGGATGAATTAGCTAGCTCAGTGTACAAAACAAAGCTGGACCTCACGGCTGGGTACCACCAGATTAGAGTCAAGTCTCAAGATACATTCAAAACAGCCTTCCAAACTCACTGTGGACATTTTGAGTTCCTAGTCATGCCATTTGGACTCACTAATGCACCAGCAACATTCCAGTCACTGATGAATCAGGTGTTTCATCCATATTTGAGGAGGTTTGTATTTGTTTTTTTTTAATGACATTTTAGTGTACAGTCCTACTATGGATACACATGTTCAACATCTAAGAACTGTATTTGAGGTCTTGAGGCAACATCAACTCTATGTTAAGAAATCTAAGTGTGCCTTCGCTCAAAAGGAGGTTGACTACTTAGGACACACCATCACAGACAAGGGAGTCAGCATGGACTCTTCAAAGGTCAGTAGCATTCTCCAGTAGCCTGTACCTCAGACAGTCAAAGAGTTGAGAGGCTTTCTTGGACTTACAGGCTACTACAGGAGATTTATCAGACACTGTGGCCTTGTGTGCAAACCACTTACAGAACTATTGAAGAAAGACAGCTTCAAATGGAACAATCAAGCACAGGATTCCTTTGAACACTTAAAGAAATTGATGTGCTCAGCTCCAGTACTCCAACTACCAGACTTTAACAAGTCTTTTGTGGTGGAGACTGATGTCAGTGGAGGAGGTATTGGAGCTGTCCTGATGTAAGAAGGACACCCCATTGCTTTTTTTAGTAAGGCTCTTTCAGTTAAGAACTTGGGACCTTCTGTTTATGAAAAAGAGCTTTTGGCTTTGGTAATGGCTGTTACCAAATGGTGGCATTATTTGGTGGGCAATCATTTCATTATAAGAACAGATCACCAATCCCTGAAGCACCTCTTAGATCAGAGGTTGAACACTGCTATACAGCATAAGTGGATGACTAAGCTCCTGGGGTTGGATTATAAGATTGAGTACAAGAAGGGGGTTGACAATCAAGTGGCAAATGCTTTATCCAGAAGGCATACGGCTGTACGCCAGGAAGAGCTTGGCTTTTGTGTGGCTATCATATTTGTTCAACCTGGCTGGATGGAGGAATTACAGAAGAGCTATGAAGGTGACATACAAAGCCAAGACATTATGAGCCAGTTAACCTTGGATCCTAATTCACATGCTGACTACATCCTGCTGGATGGGATTCTTAAGTACCAGGGAAAGATATACGTAGGAGGTGCCAACAACATCTGAAACAAATTAATCCAGACTTTACATGACTCAGCCATAAGGGGTCACTCAAGCCAAAGGAACTGCTGGCAGAAGCTCAAATCCCTATTCTTTTGGCCTAGCATGAAGCAGGGTGATAGCATATGTGCAGAGTTGTGATATTTGCCAGAAAAATAAAGCTGAGCATGTCCCTTATCCTGAATTGTTACAACCCATCCCTGTTCCTAAGCAAGCTTGGCTTCACATTTTTATGGACTTTATTGAAAGGTTGCCCAAGTCACAGGGGTACGACACTATCCTGGTGGTGATTGATAGATTCACCAAGTTTGGACATTTTATCCAGTTTACTCACCCTTTTACAGCTAAGTCCATTGCTCAGATATTCCTGGATCACATCTACAGGATGCATGGCTTGCCAGACTTTATCATCACTGATAGGGATAAAATGTTCACCAGTATGATCTGGAAGAAAATTTTTAAGTTGGAAGGGGTGGAACTGCACTACACTTCATCTTATCATCCGCAAACGGATGGTCAGAGTGAGAGGTTAAATCAATGTGTGGAGAGCTACCTGAGATGCATGACAGGTGAACTTCCATCCCAGTGGAGCAAATGGCTCTCACTAGCGGCATGGTGGTACAATTCCACCTACCACTCACGCTTGAACATGACTCCTTTTGAAGCCCTCTTTGGTTACAAGCTTACACCACTACCACTTGGGCCCTATTTGGATTCGGTGATGCCTGCAGTGGCTGACATGGTCCAAGAAAGAAGCAGAATTTCAAGCTGCATCAGGGATCATCTCGCGAAGGCTCAACAGAGGATGAAGCACTTTGTGGACCAGCACAGAATTGAGAGAAGCTTTGATAAGGGGGATTGGGTGTTTTTGAAGCTGCAACCGTATAGGCAACAATCTGTGGCAGTGAGGAAATGCCTCAAGTTGGCTGCAAAGTACTATGGTCCATTTCAGGTAGAGAAGAAGGTTGGAGCAGTTGCCTACAGGCTCAAACTACCTCCAGACGCAAGAATTCATCTGGTGTTCCATGTTTCGCTGTTGAAAAAGAAGATTGGGTCACTTAAGTGTAGCTCTCCTCAGTTGCCAGAGCTGGATGAACGTGATCAGTGTCCACTGAAACCAGAGGCCATTTTGAAGAGAAGGGTTATCATTCGCGGCGAGAGGCCTGTCATACAGTTTCTGATCAAATGGGACCATTTGAGTTATGATGAAACTTCGTGGGAGGACAAGACATTCATTGAGAGTCAGTTCCCTGAGTTCCAGACTTGAGGACAAGTCTGCCTTAATGGGGGAGGAATTGTTAGGCGTCGGGTAATTGGGTCAGAAGTTAGGAAATTGGGTTAGCAATTTGGGTTAGTAATTGGGGAGATTAGGACACCGAACGGTGTCGTTCCAATTAATAAGGGTTCCTTGGGAATTATGGTGGTGCAATTGTTAGTGAAGGCAGTTAGTAGAGTATTAGAGAAAGAGTAATAAAAGGGGACCCACACATGTACAGTCGGCAAGTAATAACAGATTCAGTTGCTCCTTTCATTTCTTTCTTCCTTCTGCTCACTTTCCTCTCTCGCATCCTATCTTCATTCTTCCTTCTTTCCTTGATAATCAGATCGGTTTGAGTGAATTGCAGCTCAGTCCCTAACAGTCCATCCTCCGTCATTTTTGAGAAGGGATGGATTGGGTTACGGGTAACAGAAAAGTAGCGTACTCAAGAAAGGTCCTAAATTCGGAACTTTCTATATATGTTTAAGAAAAAGTCTCATTTTAATCATATGATTTTCCTTTACTGAATCAAAATGGTGAGAGGGTAAATAACTAAAAATAAAATAAAAATAAATTTTTGAATAAAAAATAGACATTTTTAGAATCCATTAAATATATATATATATAGCATTAATACATGAGATACAAATGAGATTTTAAGCTAACAAAATTTAATTTTTTTCAGCAACACTAATTTGACCATATTATTCACACTTTCATTAAATTTTAACAATTAAGTTCGTTTATATCCTATCATATGTTAAGGATTAAGATTGGTGTATGATAATGGATTAGAATCCACCAAAGGTGCATTCTTTATTGAAATGGGGATTGTGTTCAAACTTAAAAAATGTAGGGTTGCATTCTTGATCAGGAATGATAACCAAACAGAGTTAGGGTGGGGACCCCTTCTTTGTCCCCCCTTCCCCCCACCTCCGTGCGTTGCCATTCCTAAATACAACTTTTTATGATGTAAGGAAACATTTTTTTTCTTAATTAATATCAATCCAAGCACATTGTGGTTGTTTAATATAATGATAAAGAATTGCTGTTTAATTGATAAGATAATTCACATATAACAAAAAAAAATTATAAATCAATCAATTAGGGATTAAGTGAAAAAATTACGGTTAATCCTATTTGAAAAGCTTTTCAGGTAAAATGCCCAAAAAATAAAAGCTTTTCAAAATTTTCATTTCACACATAAATCTATTTTTCGTATTAAATAGTCCATTAAAATTCGAAAAGTGATTCATCTTGATATTGACCATTCCATTAACCCTCGCATTTAAAAACAATAAAAGTTAACCCACTTGAGAGGTGCACCTATTTAAAATGGACAATCTGAACATTCCGTATCAAACCAACCAGCTTATTAACTGCTTTGCATTTTTTGGTTTATGTTAATTAGCAATTAAGTTACGGACACTTTTCCACGGCAAGATCATATTCACATCTGCATGCACTGGCAAGTTACCGATTTGTCCAATAACTAAATGGATTTAAAGAAAAATCACATAATTCCCCCAAAATTCCAACGTCCCTTCATCATCCATCGTCTAGCCTCGTTCCAACATCTGTTGCCTATTTTCATCAAACCTTTGTAAGCAGCAATTGAGAAACCCAACCACAAAGTTCATCCAAATCTTGATTTGGAGCCAATCTTGTGATATTATTCTTGAAATCATGCTATTTTAAATTTGAACCAGCTATTAAATAAATCACTTTACTTTACAGTCAAACGTTATGTAAGTATTTATTTTCTTTTTTTTTTAACATATAATTTTTTTTTTTGTTGGAATACAGTTTGGATTAAATTACGTGAAAAAAATTGTTTGCATTATCTATGATAATATATTTTTTTTATTGTCATGTACACGAAATAAAAGATGGGCTGGAATATGGGAATATTTTTTTTTTGTAAATAATCAGATATTGAATTGTAATTTTATATTCATTTTCATATTCTTTTCTTTGACTATACTGCACTTTTCCGTTAGTTAGTGCCAGAGAGGAGCCTCGGAAGGTTCAAAGCAACTGAAAAGCAGCAGCTGCTCAATACAATAACTACTTTGACTGCTCCTCCAAGACATTCTCCAGAGCTCTGCGATCGCCGCCGCCTGGTCGCCCGATCATGACGGCTGTAGCGGAGGCGGCGGCCAAGTCAAAGGTAACGAAATCCAGCTCCGGTGATCATTTTTCTAACCCTAACGGAAAAGTGTGGTTCTATTCTTTGCTGCTCACGCTACAATACGGTGCTCAACCTCTCATCTCCAAACGGTGCACGGGGTTAGTCTTTTTCTTTGGATTTTTTTCTGTCATTTTCATTTTCATGTAATTCATTAATTTTCGCGAATAAATGATGATTTCTATCATGCTATATTTTGTTTCATATATATATATATATATATATATATATATATATACCTGCATTTGGGAAAGGCTTTTATATTTCTTTGCTGTTTTAAGTTTTGATTTTCTTGTTAATCTTTGTAGTGATCGTTTTAATTATCATATCAGCTGGCATAGCCGCCAATTATAATAATTCTTAGGAAGCTGGAGTGAATAATAAAGTTCTCAAGGTAATGGCCGGCAATTAATTAGTATTGCAAATAAAAAAATTTGTCAATCCTAAGAAGTAATGTTATATATCTATACATTGCTACTTTGTGCTAGAAATCTTGAGTCTTTGTCTAGTACAGTATAGTAAACCGTCAAAAAGAAAGCTGTCTATGTACGAATACGTGAAGCATCTGTATACACAAGTGCGAATGGCGTTTGTCTCATGGCGGGCACTGCATGTTCCTCAACTTAATGAAGCAAGGAAAGCTTTTGCCTCCATTTATCCATTTTCATACAGAGTTAGAGTCTTACTTTTTACCAGCTTTCACTCCAGTTTGCTGTTAGGTTTAGTACTCGGAAGTCGGAACAACTACGGGTGTTAGTTTGAGATGGGAATTGGTGAAAGTTTAAGCAGCCTGTGCCTCGTGCTAAAGTTGCTGATTCAGAAGTTCAAGAGAGTTAGTGATTGCTATTCAAGAATACAAGTCCGATTGAAGAACCATCCCTTGCACTGCATTGTGGATGATTGAATATAATGATGTTTCCTGTGTGGATATATGATGTTTTGTCTGCTACTCCTGGAGCTCGAGCAAGAGAACAAACAGTGAGCTATATTGCCCATCATGGATATCAGTGTAATCCTATGGATAGTTATATTAATGACAGCTAACCAAATTACCTCCAGCAATTTACACTTCCATTGTATGTTATTCAAACATGTTGCTTATACCAAGATGCGGAATCACTAAATTGAAACTGAGTTATACAACACGAACTATGTGAATTCAAATTTTTATTAGTCAAAATGACAGGTTTTGATTCATTTATCAGTTATTACCATCTAGAGGACAGTGTATTTATCATATGTCGGCATAGGGTACTTTTCCAGTATTTGAATATAATTTTGAATATTTTTTCCTCAGGAGAGAAGTGACTGTCACTTCTTTAGTTTTGACATGCGAGGTGGTGAAGGTAATCCATCTGCCTTATGCACTTCATGTCTTTAATTTTATGGTTGTGTTTCTGTTGAAAACTTACTTCTTTATAAATGCTTCATAGGTGATTTGTGCTCTTCTTCTTATGGCAAAAGATGGTACTTTGAAGAAACTATTCAAGGAGTGGACTTTAGTTGGCTCTTTGACTGCATCAGGACTACCAGCGGCCATATATGCACTGCAAAATAGCTTGTTGCAGATATCATACAGAAACCTTGATTCTTTGACGTTCTCAATGCTGAACCAAACCAAACTTTTTTTCACTGCTTTTTTCATGTATATGATATTGAGGTATGCAGCTCATTTCTGTATAAGGCTTTTACTTTTAAAATAGATGGCTTATGAGAGAGTTATAGCAATTTTCTGAATCTCTTCTTGAAGTTAGTTTTTGGCAGCTGGATGCTTATTGAAGAACTTGTGCCATCATTCTCTGATTTTTTTGGAGTAACATGGGATAGTGTTGACTGGAGATGCTGTCATTCTTTGTTGAACACTATTTTTCTGTAGTTGGCAGTCATTTATGATTTATGGATATGCCTAGGAGGAGAGATCATTTTATGCTGCTACCCTTGTCAGTGTTAGTTTTCTTTTTGTGTTCCTCATAAATTGCCTATCTTAGATATCGATGTGTTAGTGGCTGCTTCTTATTTGAAATGGTTTTTTTTTTGGGCAAATTCTTGATTTCTGCTATGTTAATGTGCCAATATTAGGATTCTCTCCATGGTTCTGAACTGCATTTTGGGTAGCTAAATTAGCAGGCAGTTGCAGACTTGCCAGTATTGATGCTCGATTGAGATTTCTAATCCTTTCAGCTGTGTTTTCTAATTTTGTTTTATAGGCAAAAGCAATCAATCCAGCAAATTGGGGCTCTTTTCTTGTTAATACTTGCAGCTGTCCTTTTAAGTGTTGGTGAAGGTTCCAGCAAAGCTTCAAGCAGTAGCAATCCTGAAGAAATTCTATTCCGTGGAATCATTCCAGTGTTGGTAGCTTCTGTACTATCTGGTCTTGCTTCTGCTTTGTGTCAGTGGGCATCTCAGGTAGGCAAAAGTTTTTAATAACGGAAGATAGATGGTTGAAGTGCTAGCTAATTACATTATACACTATAATGAATAATGATCCACTTTGTTTGCTTCCTGTCCCTGTAACAGGTTAAGAAACACACCTCATACTTGATGACAGTAGAGATGTCTATTATTGGAAGCTTGTGCTTGATGGCTAGTTTTTACAAGTCTCCTGATGGAGAAACCATCAGACAACATGGCTTTTTTTATGACTGGACTCCATTGACTTTGGTAACTATACTTGCTAATTCTTATTCTTGGACACTGAATCATGTTAAAGTGGCCTGAGGGTAAAATTGTAATTCTTCTGAAATCAGTACCTTGTTTGAGTTTCCTATACCAGTGAGGAGGAAAAATCATTAGAAAGAAACACTTTGATGACCAAAATTTATCGCTGTCAATTTGATTCATTCACTGCATTGTAACAAGCTCCCATTAGATAAGCAATACATTCAAATACACATTTCACATATATCACATTTGCATATGTGCTTCTAAGGTTTGAGCCAGATATGCTGTCTTGTACTTCAGTTATGCGCAATAATTTGAAGCCATTCTACTTTTGTGACTTTGTTTATTCTGACTATGCATGGGAAGTTGTCCATGGGACACTAATAGTCAAATGAATTAATTCCTCATGTTTTGAATTATAAATTGGTCATTATATTTTTCTGCTTATTTACTCAGTGAATGACTATCCTTGTATTATTGGAGTTGCCGATTCCTTCCAGTAGGCTATCTTCTGAAGTTTTGTTATTAAGGCATTAATATATAGATCTTTTCATAGATAAACACTTTGAGGATAAACAGGGTTAATTGTAGGATACGCTTTTGTTTGTTAACATAAAACATTTGGGATTTATGCATCTGATGACAGACTTGGATGTTTGAGGCAAGCCATTTGATGGTGTTTGAATACTTCAAATTCTCATGCTTTTTGTCTTTTATTCAGATCCCTGTGATATTCAATGCTGTTGGTGGGATTCTAGTTGGCCTTGTGACATCTTATGCTGGTGGTGTACGAAAGGCAAGTCTTGCCCCTTAACTTTTACTATTTGATAGGGTGGAGCAGACATTACTTAAATCATGCTGTTCTAATAAATACTTGTTTTCCATTTGCAATAGGCTAATCCATCAAAAACTTGAAGTATACCCTAGAAATTTTGGATGCCTAATTTCAAGAAATATAGGTTTTGGAGTGCAAGAATATAGGCCAATCAATAAAGGTACATATGCAGGAATTCCGGGGTAGAGGAAGAAGAATATTTTGGGGTGAACTGATATGGTGGGATGCTTTTCTAGTAATTGGTTGGCTGTCTGTAGTTGAAGGCTTTTGTTTTAGTGTATCATCACCAATTGCTATTTCATCTGCCTAGTTCTACATCTATAGATGCCAAAGTAACTAGTTCTAGAAAGGTCAACATGGTAGCTAGCAGCCTGGCCAGCCATAAACTTGAGATAACAAGCCTTTTTCAGGATAAATCAGAAAAAAAAAAGAAAAAGAAAATACATTTACTCAATTGATGATATGTTTCCTGACAATTGAGTTTTGGGTTTTGTTATTAGGTATTATCTCAACTCTTGGTGTTTTTTCGGGAAATTAGTGTGAAATATCTATTAAGATGAGCATTACTTGCAATTGGATAAAGTAGTTTATAGGAGTATTGTCACGGTGTAGAGCATACCAATATTATTTTCCTGTGATTGAGGAAAGTGTCTCGCCTTTGATACCAATATTTCTTTTCCTGTTGCCTGCTTCCATCTCCTTCTTTTCTTTCCCTCTTGCACGCAGTTTAAGCGTTTAATGTCTTGTCTTGTCTTGTCCAAAATGCCTGCAGGGATTTGTCATTGTTTCTGCACTTCTCGTCACTGCTCTGTTACAGTTTGTCTTTGATGGCAAACCACCTTCCTTGTACTGTCTTGTGGCATTACCACTGGTGATTACCAGCGTATCAGTCTACCAGAAGTACCCATACAGAGTCAAAGCAAAGGAGGCATGAGATGTTATGAACTGCTATTTTTAGGAGTTAATGAGTGAGGAAATATGCTGGCATTTTTTAGGAGCCTTCCTCGCTTTGGATGGCGTACTGAGTGTGTTCTTGTTAGTCAAATTCATCCGGTGTCAAGTGTCAATCAAATGTAGCTGGACTCTGTTCTTTATTATCTTAGAGGACGATATAAAGATAATCTGCTGTCTTCCTGCAGTTGGGAAAGGAACTGATACATCTTCTAAACTCTATCAACCGTGCTGGAAGAATACGTACAGGTTAAATCTATTTGCGGTCTCTCCCACTCAACAAAGAGAAGATGCAAAGATGCAAATGCTAGAGCTACAACTTCATGCCATTCACATTTCTAATTGCCCTTCTTTTTGTCTCGTTACTTGTTGCAATGTACTATCAGGTTATTATCATTATTTTTATCTGGGGGATAGTAAAAGGGCCTCAGAAGAGGAACATTCTCTTGGTTTGGAACTGAACATGAAATTTAAGCTTTGGCATGTGAAACTGTACCGGCAAAAAGACTAATGTCTTGTGTTAATGCGCAACGTACATGCCGTACATCTTTTTGGTAGCATTAGTAATCGAACTGCCTTTTGTTTTGGTGATTTTAATAGTGCGAGCCACACATTATTTATACTTTATTTACGCACGTTAACTTATTTGCATCATCAATATATTTTTTAATCATCTTTTTATCTCACGTATATCATATAAAAAAAGTGTTACAGTATTTTTTCATCAAAATTATTTCAAATAATTTACTATCCAAACACAATAGTCTTGATAAAGCAACTAATGTATAATAGCCCAACACAGTCTTTTGACGTCATTTGTTCTTCTATAACTTTTTTTTTTTTGTGAAAAATTATTTTTTATATGTAATAATGATTACAATCTTGAACTTGAAGTTGAACCAAATAAATAAATAATATCGACTTTAACCCCGTTTATGCTCAGTAAAGTAATTGATTTTAGAAATCAAAAGATCAAAGCGATACGATCATGGGTTCTCTCTCTTTTTTTTTAATTATTTTTTTGAGGCATCAGTAAATTATGTTAAAATCCAATTTGGCAAATCCGACACCTTGAGGGAGCTGGGGGTTGGGCTGCATCCACAAAATCATGGCTAACCAATAAAAGTGAGACAACAACATTCGACCCGGCCCAACAGCTAAACCCTTTTTTTCTTTCCCCTTCCACTGATCATTTTAAGTAGAGATCAGAAAACCTCTGAACGATCTCAAAATCACTGCAGAAATACACACTTTCACACTCCCAAACGCGCACAGAAGCATAAAGATGGCAAGTAGATTGGGAAGAAGAGTAGTACACTTTGCAAACCTACCAATTAAGCTCCTCATGCCCTCCTCTTTCTCCAATATTAGGGAAATTGCCCTCAAAACCATCCCTTCTGCCTCCAAGGTATGTACTTTTCTCCACCTCAAAATGGGATATATCTTTTCTTGATTTGTACTAAAGTTTGAATTTTTATTCATTTTTTCTCATATTAATCTGGTGGGGTTATTTTCCATGTAGATTGAGATAAAGAGGGTTTTAGAGTCCCTTTATGGTTTTGAGGTGGACAAAGTGAGGACTTTGAATATGGATGGGAAGAAGAAGAAGAGAGGTGGGCTGTTGATTGCGAAACCAGATTACAAGAAGGCTTATGTGACCCTGAAAAATCCTTTATCAATTTCACCTGATGTGTATCCCATTAGAATGATTGAGGAGGACAAGAAGAACATGGCTAAGCCCTCGAAAAAATCAAGCATGTTGGAGGATGGTGAGCCCAAGACTCCACATTGGCTTGATGAGAGGAAAGATAGGTCCAATGGGTTCAGGCAAGAGAGGTTCGGATCCCCTCGTCGTGGTGGCCATAGTCGTGATGGTCCTGGTGGTGGGGATAGTACTGGTGCAGCGGCTGCCAAGTTCCCGTGGAGCAGTATGAAGTCCTTTGCTAGGTAGAATTCAAAATATTCTGCTGTCAAATTTGAGAATTAGCATTCTGCTGCCAAGTATGAAGTCGATTGCTATGTAGAATTTGGAACATTTAGTTTAAATGCGAGATGAGAATTGGTGCTATTTATGTGGCTGGGTTGATAATGGTACTTAGCTTTTTAGCTTTTTTAGCTTCAACAAGGTTAATGATGAAAGATGGCGATGTAGTATTAATACGAGTATACAGGCAGCTGGAATCTTTTTTTGGCCAATAGTGTTGTTAATACCTGAATTTTGCTAACTTTTTTTGATTGACATCACTGATGTTATCAAGCTCTGCTCTACCGGATTGTGATGTTTTCCTTCAACCGCTAAAGATAATATTTGCTTTGAACTGTTGGAGGTTGATAATTGATAGCATGTACCGGATTGTCTTTTACTGCTTTTGCTTTGCAAGCCATTGACAAGCCATGAGTTGGTTAATTCTGTGCTTATTGAGAAATTAATGCACAGATAGTTGTTCTTTGGTTTCCTTTAGGAAATTTTTACTTCATCTGGTTTGTAGAGGATTATAGATCTGCAATCATTAGAAAGGATGTTGAGAGAGATGCTGCACTCTCATCACAAATGTATGTTATTCGTGGCTCAAAGGATTACATGTTTGAAATATGTCTTTCATGTTATCGAGACTTAGTTGCTTACTACAAGGACTGGAAGGTTATATTTTGTTCATGTGTTCCAGAGGAATGACTAAAATTTCTTACACATTTGCACAAATATATAAGCCATGTCTATGAAAGAGAAATGAGGCTTAAAAAAAAATAACTCACAGCACGTGAACAGGCTCCAACTAGCCCATTTTATCCAAAACTTAACTGCTACTGTCTTCTACAACGAGTTCAGAAAGCTTTCGGATCTTAGGTAGGGGGAACTTTAGGAAATTGATACCCTCCTGTGGAACTTGGTTTTATGGCCTGAGTGTGATCTAGGTTGGCCGTCATCAGCTTTTTCCTCAACAATTTTGGCCTGGGCAAGAGAAGGCTTTTTAATTTTCATCCATTTAAATGTCCAACTTGATAAGCTCTTGTGTTTGTTATTTAGTTTTTCATATTCTTGCTGCAACTCAAAATAGTCCGTCTGCAATTCTGCCATTTTGGCCTTTACTATCTCTAATTCTGCTTTGAGAGTGTTGACTTCCTTCTTTGTACATAGCCAGCTTCCATCTTGACCAGGGTTATCATCACAGTTATCCTTTCCTTGTATTATATCCCTCATCTTTACCTGTTCTGAGAACAAAACCTGCATTTATGTCACTTTGCAAGGTCAGAGATGTTCTTCTAAGTAAGCACAAAATCTTAGAAGAAAAAATGGTTGTTTATTGGCTTGTCATAAAGATACCCATTCTTTCCTTCACTAGCACTCATATTATCTTCTGAAACATATTATAGGTTTTTCATAAGTACCTGGACATTATCCTTGTCATTTACCATCATACTTTAGTACCTTTGTATCAAGATGTATCAAGAGTTTTGCTTCAATCATGATATATGTTATGATGCGTGCTGCAGTGCAGGTCTTTAAGTTTATATTTTTTTATTACTGAGTTAGAAATCTAGTGCAAGACACCCACGTGTAGCTATGAACAAAATTTAGAAAATGATCTATTGATGCCAAACCTTGAAAAAAAAATGCAACATAATAGCTTATGAGATGATGAGAACGACATAACAGCTTATGAGATGATTCTTCTGATCAGATTGAAGAGATTATTCAAAATACTTCTTCAACTGCTTATTTTTTCCTCTTTCACTTAAAAATGTCAGCTTTCTTTGTGTTGATAAAATGACATGCCTGAACAGTAAAAACCGATAAGTTTTTATAGTTGTCAAGATTTTGGCACAAGTTAGATCTTTTGATTTAGTAATTGCCATGATATGTACCAACAAGAATGCCAAATGCCTTTCTGGCACCAGTGGCTGTTTGACTATACTAAACTTCAGTATTAGCTAACCTAAGGAAAATGGCAATCAAGCTCAGTTGAGATTGTATAATAATTTGTTAACCTTTATTGCTCTAAGGTATACTTATTGCCTTATTGGAAGCTGATGTACTATTTGATACGAAAAGCTAGAGTTCCTGTCTTTATAACCATGTAATAGTTACTATTATAGTTCAAGGTCTGGGCTGGCTGCTGTTGCTCTGGCTCATCTTTGCTTGCAGCCTTGCCTGGAAAACTGAGCTTCCTATCAGTTTCTCATATCTTTGTTAAATGTCTAACTATTTAACTAAGTCCTGTCATATGAAGCTGAAATTTTCAGATATGTAAAGAGTCATGATGAGATTAAGGTATGTGCTTGTATCTTAAAAAATTAGGTGCATTTTACAGCACAAAAGGCTCATTATGCCGTTTGCCTGGAGGCTGGGTACTGCCATAACAATGTCTTTTCCAGATTATTTACTACAGTTACCTGGATTACAGTTCGTAGGGGCAGCCTGTCATTTTGTGCTGCATGCATACATGCGTCAATTGACAGCTTCTCACAGTTCATGATTTTGCATAGCCTTCTGCGGTCTTGTTCTGATAGTGAAGTATGAGTCTGTGGGAAACCAGATTGTTAGTGTCTCAAATATGGTAATATATTTTATGAAAATATAATGGATTTAGAATTGGAAAAGGTAGACTGATAACCTTGAGATAAGTATCAATGGCTCTATAGAGACCATCATCACATGTTCGAGCATTTTCAGGCAAAGATTCGGCTAAAACTTGAAACTTAGAGATGGAGAGATTGGGATCTCTTGCAACTTCTGCTAGATAGTTGTCAAGGAGTTTGCCAACAGTCAATGTCCTTGGATTTTGTTGCAGCAGCAGCTGCTGCTGTTGTTCATATATCAAGAAGTACTCCAAAATCCTTTGGACAACGTCTATGTTGTGCATTGCCCGGTCATTGATCATCCTGGGTAATCAACATAATGTGGGGAACATTTATAGGAACTTATCATTTTACTTGGAAAGTATACTTTTGAAAAAGGGTTTGGAAGTACTATATAGACATCTTCTTAGACAATTAAATCTTGAAGTTGAGCAAAAGAGAAGGTAGGAACTCACTTTACCATCTTCCCTTGATCTCCTACTGTATAAGTTGGTATCAGCAGATCATTCACATTTGCTTTTTCCAAAACCATTCCAACTCTTTTCTCGAGCTCTGAGATTAAAGCTGGGGATATTGAAAACACTAGGGCCATCTTCAATATCCACAGAAGGAACTTGCAAGAAACAGCTTCCTTCTGAGGTGGCAGTATACTTACTAGACTCTCTATGATCATTCTATGCTCCTTATTCTGTCCAATGACCCCTTCCAGGCTCTTGCCAGTTGTGACACTCCATTGTACCTCATTTTGACTATATCCATGTCTTTTTATTGCTTTACCTGCATCTATATCTGGCAACCATTTTTCTGCGTATCGCATGATACATGAACCTATACTTTCTGGTTTTGTCCCTTTTGCTCTTATGGCTACTATGATCCTTATGAAGTGATCAATGCGAAGAGTAACCACATCCTCAAACCACCAATCTTCTTCACTGATGTTCTCCACTGTGGCTGAGTTTTCTCGAGATACTTTCCATGAAATTGAGTCGCAACATCTTCGAACAATCTGAAGGTTTTCAGCCCATGGAGACAGCTTTTCACATGATTTGAGGACAGTGACTGAGTCTCTCCATGAAGAAAGGACCACAAACGTAAAGAAAGCTTCAGTCTTGGAGATGAGATTTCCATCTTCTAGTGATTCAGTCATCTCCAGAAATTCTGAAGCACATCTTAGTGCTGCTACATTATTGGGGTTTAAGCCTATTGGCAGGTCATAACAGAATTTCAGGACGAGTTCAAATGTTTCTGATCCACCTGGAAAGTTTTCGAGTTTGGGATCATAACCTAAATCTGGATTTGAAGGCTCGAGTTCGAGTCTATTTAGGTAGCCACACCTTGCGACTAAAGGATACTGTTCCAGGAGGATAAGTAAGATGAAATGGTTGTTCCTCATGAAAGCACAACTTAATTGAGATATAGTCTAATTACTAAAATGTCTACATTGTACACATGTATGGTGCACTTGGTTTACCATTAGTACAGAAACATTGTTTTAGACCCGTGTTTCATTTGTAGGTAAAATGTAAGATTTTTTCGAGTCATTTAGTTGTATGTTTATAGATATTCCTCATCAAGGTTTACTGCCTTTACATGCAAGAGCTCTCTGGTTATTTTCAGTTATCAAAACTTTCATTCAGCTGCAGTCTCTCTTAAAACTGTTTTTAAGTATATTTATTATGCAAGTTGTCTCTCCATATTTCAGATTCTTCTTTCCTCTTTTTGCCCTCCCTTTTGTGCAATTAACCTTTCTATAGGAGCATCTCTGATTATGTAGATGCTTTGGAAACTGGAGAAGTAAAAAGAGAACATATAGCAAAATGACATGTGTGATATAAACTGCATGGTGAAACAAAAGAAGACATTTACAAATGCTGTAGCATTACTTGATTATTTTGTGTATTTCTAAATTTAGAAACAAGGTGCAGGAATAATATTGCACATAGTTTGAAAATGGCTGTTTAACCTTGCACTTTCCCTGATCTTGTACACTGTGCTGTAGGTTACAAAACTTCGCCAGTTTAGTTACCATTCTGCTGTGAATTCGATTTTCATTACCAGTGAAGCATTTTACTGAAAGGATTCAAAGCAAAACTGATAAGTTTGGTTTTGTCTCATGTTACCTTGTGAACACAAAAGGTGATGTCTTCAACCTGAATAGATAGATCTGATGGAATTGGAGAGAGAGCAAACCTGCACAAGTTAACATAATTGCCAGAGATTGGAAAAAAAAAAAAAAAAAAAACTTTTTGTAGCAGGAACTATTGGTTCATGCATACTCCTAGACGAACTAGAGGATTATAATGGTTACCAATCTTGAGCTTCAATGAGATCCTAGGGTCGTTACCATGAATGCTCTTTCTTTTCAAAGCCATATGTTGTTGCAATGAGGTTCCCTGGAACTATAATACTATGACCACGAGCTTGATCAATGCCATCAGAGTCACTGCTAGAGCTTTGTTGCTGCTCCATTTGGACAGACTTCATCATGAGTACTCTGTTGCCCATACTGAAGGCAATTCAGCTGATATAGAGGCAGAAAATGAGTGGGGTTGCTGGGGCATAGGAAGAATAAATATGTGATAGGTGAGTCTATGGCTGGAATGCAAAAATCCAACAAACAAGGTGGTGGTTGTCTTCTTAAAGTCTCTTGAAGTTAATTTGTCAACGATACTGTATTAAGGCACAATGACAATTCAAAACCATCCACAAGAATAAAGGGAATGTCTGGTATTCTGAGGCATGTGTAGTCCCATTCAAATAATACCCACGTAATGAATGCTTGACCAGTGCCTAATCTTTGTGGCTTAGACGAAGTTAACTGCTTAAAGCACAGTATAGCAGGTATATGTGATTGTAAATCATTCAGGATGTATTGCTTTGACAAGAAATATATGCTTTTGTATACATTTATGTCGTCGCAACTTGGAAAATCTGTTTGTACGGTGTAACTTTTCTTGCAACAAGCCTTATGCAGCAAATCCCAGTCTACAAATAAAAGGGTCCCTAAAACATCA